ATTATATCTATTGCAAGTCTGACATTTCCCAAATTTTTGTTCTCTTTTATATAAATATTCATCATAATTTTGAAGACCTCTATCATTTTTATAATCCATTACAAGCACATAGTCTTTTGTAATTGGATCTTGTGTTAATCCATAAATATGAATTACATCTGCTTTACCACGAAATTTTATATCATTTTTGAACTAAAAATATGTAATTAATTTCAACAATAATAATAAATAATATTTAAAAGTCCAAAAAAAAATTTAATTTACCTCATTAAGAAATTCATGAGAAATATTTTGCAAATTATGTAATTTTTTTAATGCCACAATCTTATCTCTACTACTTCTTTTATTATTAAATGCAAATTTCAAACCACCTATCCAAGTAGCTTTGTATATAGTTGCAAAGCCACCATCACCTATCTCTTCAATATTTGTTAAGTCATTATGAGGAATCCATTGAAGATAATAATAATTACTATAGATGGTTGCTTCAAGTTGTGTACTTTTAATCAACTCATCTAGAGTTTCATTACCACTAGTCCATCCTTCAGTTAATAGCTTTGTGTCACATGATTGACACCATGACCAATTAGTATTATATCTATTGCAAGTTGAACATTTCCCAAAAAATGTATGTCTTTTCTTTGAATATTCATCACCATAGATTTTTTTAATAAAAACACTACCTTGATTTTTATCATGATATAAATTGTTATCCATTTTAAAAGTTATCTTGGATTGTTTTTTATTAAAAAATTCTGTTATTTGTATTTCATGTCACTGTAATACATCCAAATAAATTAAATTTTCATGTAACCTTTAAAAAAACCAATGTAAATTGATTACTCTAATTAAAAGCTATTGAACTACGTTGAAATTTTTTAAATAAGTTAAAGTTTGGTGTTGTATTATGATACAGAACATCTATAATAATCAATTATTTTAAAAAAGTTAACCAATAAGTTTATTGTTCATGACCCAAGCTTCAAAACTTATTATTATTGGCTAGTTTTTTCTTTTAGCATTCTGAAAATTTTTAAATTTTGTATATACACAAGGAATTGCAGGCAGGATTATTACCAAATATGGAATTTTTGAATACTGTAATGTATGTAGAAAATATATAATAATTGATTTGTCCCAGAATTTTACCATGTTTTCTTCATTGATGGATCATGAATTAAGTTAGTTGAAAACACTCTATTTGAGTACGCAAAGAATTTAGAATATGAAGAATGATTTTTTTTTATTTTGTCATTCGCAATTCTTATTTAAGAAAATGTAAAGGATTTGTTCACGAAAGAAGAATGGGAATGAACTAACACAAAAAATTTAGAAGATTCTGAAGTTTCAGATGATGCGACAGAACACTTGAACAGTTACACGACAGAAGATGTCAGAAATACACTAAAGCCATTTCTCAAAGGAAATGAAAATTATGATCCTATTCTTCACTATGATTATGAATGGGTATATTTATCTGTTAGAAATATAATCAATTTGTGAGAAAACAAGGATTCTCCATTAGCTCGTTCACAATATGAGAATTGGTACTCAATCAATTTATTTGTTGTTTAGAGATTTCAAATTGGGCACAGATGTAAAAAGGTTGTTATGATTTATTTTTTTTAACAGTGTGATCAATCAACCATTATTCTTTAAATGTAGCTTTATATATCGTACTTTAGGACAGACGCACCATCAATAGTATACATGCAGCCCAAATTGATTTGTGAAGATTATATATAATATTACAGCATTCAGGGAGCGATAAAATTTTAGAATGCCCGATAACAATTTTGGGAATTAGCCATTTTTCTGTTATATACATTTTTATTTTCTATTACTACTCATCTTATTCATTTTATCCGAATTACCCAAATTCTTCGTTTTATAATAATAGGATATAAAATATTAATTCACAGCTGGATACAACAAATTCTATATTGTTATTGTTAATTATAAATAAGGTCTTATTTCCTTTAACAAAAATAAATTACAATAATTATATTTATAGTCTATATTACTATTACTTACTATGACTTAAGAAAAATGCCAATTACTTCTGCTACTACTATTATTATCACTATACACAAGGACTACGAAGGAAAAAATAATTTTAATTAGATTGTACATATGTTACTTTATTCGAATATTCAATGTAATTCGAATACTCAATCAAATTCACAACAAATAAAACGATTCGAATCGAAACCCTACTTACTATTATTTAAGAATATTTTTTTGGTCCGATATTTTTTGAAGATTTTCGATAGAATTTCCCAAACCAGGTTCACACATTGTGATAGCTGTAATTCCAAAATCGAAAGCTATAATACCATTCATAATTAAGCTGTGATGTCATAATTATGTCGTGATATCATAATTGGTCATAATGCAAATATATTTTTAACTTACCTACAAGCCTACTGCGAGATGGCTTTTTGGTCAATGTTTATTATTTACATTTATGTCCAAGGTATAATTAACTTTTGAGCCACACTCTTGGTTGTTTGTCAATAAATTTGTTTTACGAATTTATCCTAACTGCCTCTTTGAAACTGAATGCTAAAAATAATTTACTTGAAGTGTAACGTGATCTGTATGGTTGTGTTGGCCCGGCTCGGACCCAAAAGACAGACTGGTTGAAGATTGTTTACTAACTCAATAGTATTTTGATGAGAGTTACATATTGCAAAGGTAGTTTTTTACCCAATCTCGATTATTTTCGTTTTATAGCTGAGTTCGAGTTAACTTAGCTACACTCGTCGATTAATTGTAAGCTTTTATGCATAATGCTTGTTCGTAAATTAATTTATTATACGAGTTTACCCTCTTTCTTGTACCTAGAGAGCTTTGGCGAATCTGTAAGCAACTTTATGGTACAAATAACAACAAATTTAATTATTTTGTTCTTACAAATTATTAATAAATATATATAAGAAATAAAAATACGAATATAGAGCTAGATCACATGTCTAACATACGATTGGACGGTACTTCGGTAAATCCGTTTAAGAGAGATCCGCTGGTCCTATAACAATAAGGACTGGTCCTAAAGGATCGTGGCCCAAAGGACATGATCCGTGAAATCATTGGTAGTACAAATAAATGTTTTGCTTTGCCAAATAATTAATATAACTACACTGAGGGAATTTCTTCTACAGATACCTATCCTGCAATTTTTTATTGGTCTTTGTATATTCGATCCCTCCAAAAACGGACAAGAAAACAAATTACAACTATAACTAGTTTCTTTCTTACGCTAATTATAGAATTAAAGGCTATGACCTTTCTCTACAAGTCCTAAGCCTCAAGTACTATTTTAACGCACCTATATTACACACTGATCGCTTTGTCATATGAATTTGTTTAAATGGTTTAAATGGTTACGTGTAAAGAAGTTTTATCGTCATTACATTTTTGAACTCGCAATTTTGTAATTGGCGCAATGGCGCAGAAATGTTTGTATAAAACAAAAATAATTAAAAAAGGCAGGTAGCGAAATTGTTTTCAAGAATCAATCTACGTCGCACTTAGATTATAGATTTGATTCTTTTGCTTCTGATTAGATTATAAAACTATGGAGAGGGTGTGTGCGAGAAATTCCTTTTTATTGGCTAATATAGAATTCGCAATTCACACAAATCCTATTATTTATTATATTATTATTATTATTATTATTTATTATTTGTGTTGATTGAAACCAACTCCTCTTTAAGAACTTTAGGAATGCATCAAAACAATACTAACTAAAATCACTTTCTATTTATGCCGTTTATACTGTATAATCATGCAACCCGATTTTTTTAAATTATTATTATAATTATAAATCATCAAACAATGTGGCAGCAATCGAAAAATTTTTATTAAAAATTTTTTTTTTTGAAAAAAATAATTTTTCGGTAAATAATTTTTTTTGATTGATATATATAATTCAAAGAAATTATGAATCCTTCACAAATCAAAGACTTTGGTAGTATCAATCATTCAGAAAATAATAATAATGACCATTCAAAAGAACCATCTACTAATAATCAATTTGAAGGACATGAAGAATATGATTGTTCAGAAATGGGAGAAGGAACGCCTTTGTTAAAACAAAGATATGTCTCTCGATCACCAAGTTCAATATCATCATTATCATCGATAGCATTAGATAATTCTGTAGTAAAAAAACAGCCGCAGCAGCAACAATTACAACAACAACAACAATCTTTGCATAAACAATATCCATTGAACAATCTAAGGAATATACAAGAATCTGTTTTAGATATGAGTAATAATAACAATTCAGATTCAAATTTTGAGATAAATTTGTACGGAGAAACCGACTCAGAGAATGGTACTTCAAATGCATTCTCTTCCGCAATACCACAACATCAGCGTCAACTCAAAGCACAAAATGATGTATGTTTTCCTTTAATTGAATCTGCATTTAAACGAGGTATAGGGATTGATTATGAGGCTCTTGAGAAATATGTGAAGGATGAGAATGAGAAACATCAACAAGAGCAAAGACATCAACGAAGAAGATTGAGTGAATCAGAATCCGTTGTTGTTAAAAAAAATGGAATAAATGAAAGGTTCAATCGTTGTCATAACTTTAAAGATAATAAGGTTTAGTGAGTTTTTTTTTTAACTATATAATTATTAATTCATTGTTTAACAAAACAATCATTAAAAAAATAATATTGTTCTTGTTCTATTGTATTAGTATAATTCAGAAATATTATATCGATTTACATTTTATTCTACAGCACACAGTACTGTACATGCACACACACTTGCAGAAATACCACCATTGGATTCATCATTATCAGAAATGTTGAAAAATGGATGTTGGTGGATTGATATCCTATCACCAACAGATGATGAAATGATGGAATTTGGTAGGGTAAGCGTAATGTTATCAATATTAAGAAAAGTAATTAAATAACTATAAATGGCACTTTGAAATTTACTTTCATTTTATTTTCTTTAAAAAGATATTTGGTATACATCCTTTGACCATTGAAGATATAGAGACTGAAGAAACACGTGAAAAATGTGAAAAATTCAATGATTATTATTTTATTTGCTTCCGATCTTTTGATCAAAATCATTATTCTCCAACATATTTACAACCAGTAAACATTTATATGATTGTGATGAAAGAAGGAATTTTATCGGTATATACCTTTTATCTATAATAAATATTTTTATTATTATGGACATTTAAAGTTTAAAAAAATACCTTTTTTTGGGCAATAATAATAAATAGTTTCATTTTCGCCCAACACCGCATCCAGCGAATGTTAGACGTAGAATAGGACAATTAAAAGATTATATAACTGTCACACCTGGTAATTTATTTTTAAATCATTAAAAAAAATAATTTATTCATAACGATCCTAATTATATTAATCTTGATCATTTTGTAGATTGGATAAATTATGCAATAATTGACGATGTAACGGACTCATTTGCACCACTTATTCGATCAATTGAATTTGAGGTAGATTCTATTGATGAACTGGTGTTAATACTTAAAGAATCTGAACAGACTGATATGTTACGTAGAATAGGACATTGCCGTAAAAAGGTGTTGGGATTATTAAGATTGTTAGGAAGTAAAGCAGATGTTATGAAAGCATTAATAAAAAGATGTTATGAATTAAGGTGGGATGTGGTTATAGGTAATGAGATTATATTATACTTGGGAGATATTCAAGGTACCTATCTATCTATTGTGGATTATGTTTTGTTTGTATTTGTGTTTGTGTTTGTGTTTGTGTTTGTGTTTATATTTATTTCTATATTTATGATTTACATGTTTTTTTTTTAGATCACATTATTACAATGGTTCAGAATTTGAACCATTATGAAAAAATACTTTCTAGGTCACATTCAAACTATTTGGCACAAATTTCAATTGAGATGACACAAGCTAATAATCAGATTAATGATATATTGTCTAGACTTACAGCATTAGGAACTATTTTAATTCCTATGAATCTTGTAACAGGTAACGCCTAATAAAATCACTTTTCATTTTCCACAATATGTTACTGTTGTTGTTGTTGTTTATATAATATTGGTTTTTACAATAAATAGGTTTATGGGGGATGAATGTTCCGGTCCCAGGACAAGAATCCGAAGGTTTAAGATGGTTTATTACTATATTGGCAGGAATAATTCTGTTTTCTATATCAGGAGTTATAATGGCTCATAGGACCGGAATTGTCTGACATTAATCAACCAATTAATAAATGTAATGTTATTATTTTTTCTCTTTGTATTTAAAAAATTTTCTTTGAAAATGTTTCCAAAGATTATTGTTGATCTATTATGTTCTTCCTGATGAACATTTATTTATTCCAAAATATCCAAGATCATATATGTGTATTTGCAATTTTATGTTCTATTTTATCTATCAAGACTTTATTTAAGACTTTGTTCTTTTATTTAAATTATTTAAGGAATTAAAAAAAAAAAGCAATTAAAAACCAGAGAATAAATTATTATCTATTATTACATATTAATTTTTTTTGGATATTCCTAAAATATGTTGTACAAAATTATATTAAAGATTAAAAAAAATCATCCAAGTTTTGTAAGTTCTTGTAAATATGCACGTGGATTTAATATCTGTGTTGAACCATAAATAATTTTCTTCTTGTTAGCTTGTCTCTAATAAAATTACAGAAAAATTTGATTAGAAAATTTAAAATTTTTTATTATATTAATTAGATATTTTGAATAATAATAATAAACACCTTTGCGTATTCTTGTAAATTTTGATATTCAATATAATTTCCACCACCAACAACAAAAACAATTCCTTCCTGGAAGCTATGTTTACTCTTTGATTGTTTATTAATAGAGGAGTTACGTGCCATTTTTGGATCAAAAAATAAATAATCATCAGTTTTATAAGTACTGCTAGTTGATGGATCCATAATTGATTCAGTAATTTTTGTTAAAGTTAAATCTTTATGTGATGGTAATAAATTTTTTACTCCAGAAATCAAGTTTTCAAATCCTCCCTCTTTTAATTTATCAGTCAACTTGTTGAATAAAATGAAGAAATTAATTAAAAATTTATATCCAAAATAAATAAATTACTATTATTATTTTTGTTATTATTATTATTATTATTAATACCTTTCCTATAGATGAAAATCCTGAGAATAATTGACTAGGTTGTCCGAAACCTGAACTTTGAGAAACGGGTGCTGACAACATTGTCATTTTAGTGATTTCGCGTACCCTATTGTTTGATTTGATCATGCAAATAAATTTATCAATCAAATGTATAAATTGAAGATATTAATATCTTATAAATAAAATTTTTTTTACAAACTTTTTAACATAATTTAAAGCTGCCATATTACAACCAGCAGCGGAAAGAGCTTCCTCATATTCAATCATATCTTCTTTTGTAACTTCATCAACTGACAAATAATAAATTATAAAAAAACGTAATTTATCTTCTGGTGATTTTTTCTCTGGATCTTTGATAGCCTCTAGCACACTTGATTTATTTTGTCGTGTCACTGATTCTTCCAATTGGAAAAAAGTGTCTAATTGACGTTCCTTAATTCCCTGTAATAAAGATGTCGCAATATTCATATGTGTGTCAAGTGTTTGTTTGCGTGCAGTAAGTTCTGGCAGGGCAGTGATGGCCGACTTTAAATGTGATGTATTTTGAGACAAATCTGCATTATTAATGTCATCAAGTGAACTAACTCCGCTTAATTTTGTGATATCTGCTGCATCAGATTTATATCGATTAAGCTCGACATCAATATCTTCAGCCACTTGAGGAAATGGACTTGAAGCATTCTTTGACCAAAAGAAATCATTGTTATCCAAATAATAGGTTTTTTTAGTGTTATGTCCCATTTCTTCTAGTTGTATAGTAATTCTGTTCAAATTCATATCTAAAACATCGTGTATCAATGCTTGATATGTCCAAGAATGACTTAGCATAGGAACTAGATCAACATTCCTATCTTGAATAATTAACACCGGCCTTTGAAAATTTAATGATGTTGAAGCTTCCGAGAATAAATTATTTCGTGAATTTAACAGATGATCACGTAAACGACTATCAAGCTTATATGCTACCATTTCTGCAGCATTTCCCCTTGGGCATCTAATTATAGGTACAACACCCATTGTTGCCAATACTGAAAATAATGCAGTCACAGTACGATCTATTGCTTCTTCAATAGCTGTTTCTGCTGCTGTTGGATCATTCAAAGTATAATAAATATTTGGTTGATTCAAAGAAAAAAGGTTTGGTTCAGTGACTATAAAGTTCAAATATTGATCATAAACTTGAGCAATCAAATTTGATGTGTTATTTTGATATGTTATTGTTGCAAATTCTTCAAGTAGAGGTCTTGGAATAGTTGTTAAAAAATTTATATAATAAGTTTCATAAAGATTTTTTACCAAATCCTGATAATAATAATAATGATGATAATAAAATTTTAATATGTTATATGAAGAAAATGAAGATATAAATGACTTTTGAATTCAAATTTATTTAAAGACCTCGCTAATTTTTTGAATGTTATTAGGTGTTGGTTCGACAAAATATATTGCAGGAACATCTGGAATTTGTTGTCTGTCACTTTTTAATAACCTATTCAAAATTATAAGTTATCATATAAATTAAGTTTTTTCTTTTCACTTTTTATCAAGGTACAACATACATACATACATGTGAACTGTGACTCCATTATCTCGTAAATCGTTAACTTTGAGCACAGAAGAAATTACATCTCGGCCAAATTCATCAAAAATTAGCACTTTCCATACTGGCTCGCTGTTATTGCTGGAAAGCAATAGATTATCAGATGAGCCCGTGGTGATCGTTGGATCTGGTTTGATATTGAGATTGAGCATTGAACTTATGGCATCTGTTTTTTTGAAAATTTTCGTATAAATGGTTTTTTAGTTCAATCAATTAGATATCAATGCGTTATAGAATGCGATAGAAGGCATTTAAAGTTTAACCCACTAGTTTGTTGATCACGTAAAGTAATATCTTTTGGAAGAGTATCCATTTTTTTTTTTTTTATTAATATTAATAATTAAATTTACATTAGCTTTTTTATTTTTTACTGGTATTTTATCGGGTGATCTAAATTTTGTAGATCATTTCTATATATATTTATTTATCAAACTTTACCTATGAGGTGAAAGATTTTCTAAAGTTGCCTAAGAACCACGGACTAAAGATAATATTTAATAGGATTTTGTGCCCTGGTTAGCGATTCAAGTTTAATTGAACCCTGGACTTTCACAAGCTCATATCACTCTTTTTGAATCCGGACATAATATTTAAACTTAAACTGCTCGCTCAAGTTTATGAACATGTTTAAAGTTCAAGTACATGTATGTGACCAGTGTATAATAATTTCAAGTTGGTTAGTAGTGCCAATTCCGCCAATGTCCTGCCTGCATTCTTGTCTTGTGTTATAAGAAGATTATTCTCTTTTATTTATTAATTATTATTTATCTGTATGTATTACTTGTTATTGTTTTATAATTAAACATAATTGATTTTTGAGAAACAATCCATGAGGTTTTTGATTGACAGAGCAGGGGGAACAAATAAACCTTAATTAATCCTTAAAAATTGTTAATAAAACTTTTAGTAACATAATTTGCTTTAGTGAGTGAGCAAAGGGTTAGTACTAATTAATAATAATGAATCTGGAACTTTGAATCAAACTTGAACTGAAATTCACTGGTAGAAAAATATAATTCACAAAGATTTGATTTCACAACTGTTTCTACAGTATTTTTTACAACAGTTTTTACAAAGACTAGTGAAATATTATGGAAATATGGTTTTTATGCTCAATGCTTTCACCATGTGAAATCTTTGTGAGTTACGTTTTTCTACCAGTGACTAAAGTTTATTTTGAACTTGAACTAGATTTCAATGAGCAGAACTTGAACATGATCAGAAGTTTAGTTTAGTTCGCTTCTGTCACTTGGAACTTGAAATTGATTAAAGTAGCACTCATTTTGCTACAAGGTAAACAGTATAGAATTAATGTTTATTTATAACTTTTATTATTTTTTCAAAAAAGTCATTTTAAAAATATTGATGTATGAAGAAAGAAACTAGAGTAATGGGTAATTATATATATATATATCCAACTTTTGTATCAATTTTATTAAACACAAATACCTCAATGACATGTTAACTCGATTCTTGTTTTGGACTAATTAACAATTTGCTATCGAAGGTGGGACCAAAACCAGAACAATCGTCTAAATTTCTAGATCGTCGATTCAATTTGGAAATAACTTTATTATTATTAGTAAACTTGCATGATAATTTCTTTTAAAGTCACTACTAATTGAGAAAACATTGTGAAATTTTCTAATAATGGCAAAAGATTATTGACACATATTATCTCAAGATGATTTGGGCAATAAACAGAATAAAATGAGCAAAGGGAAGGAAGGGAATTTAGCTAAAATTGATTTATAACATTATTATTTTCCCGCAGTTATGACCACACCATCTTGAAAGACTTCTTCAGTTGACTGTTGTTCCAAAGTTAATTGAAAGCCTGATCCTTCACGAAGGAAGGAAATATCCGAGAATTTATGAGCACTAGAACAAAAAATCTTGGTTTTTACCAAGTTGTGAAGAAACGGATGATCATTTTAATGGTGGTGCGTTCAACACCTATTTTATTGGATTAGTAAAACTAGGTCATGTTATTGCCATACTTAGTATATATAGTAAAGTTTTGAGCTTGAACTCCTAAGAAGGACGAGAAATAAATTGTGATAAGCATAGTGAGTGACCCCTGAAAGTTAAATTTTCTGCAGCACGTACCCATTTATTTAATTATATGTGTGTCACAAAAGAATGACACGTACTTTTTTTTTCTTTTTTTTTTTTAAGAACTTTATATTCATAATTTTCACAAAATGACTACTGAACGAAGACCTGCTTCTACTTATAACTTTGTTTCTGAAGCTGCCCTTCCTTCTCAAGTATATAAAGCAACTTATTCAGGTGTTCCCGTCTGGGAGTTTCGGTAAGTAATAAATCATTGTTTGAATTTACAATATTATGCTTTTAGTCTTTTTGATTTTGCTTTTGACATCTAATGATGAAAAATAACTTGTAGAGTGAAAGGTGTGGCTGTAATGCGTCGAAAAAATGATGATTGGCTTAATGCAACTCAGATTTTAAAAGTTGCCAATTTTGATAAGCCACATAGGACAAGAATATTAGAACGTGATGTACAGAGAGGTGAACATGAGAAAGTACAAGGAGGATATGGAAAATATCAAGGTAATATTTTTACCTGCGACATTATACATTATGTACCCCTTCTTTCTAAACTAAACATTTTACCAATTAATGTATTAATTAATTGATTAATCGATTAATTAAATGCAATAATTTCAGGAACGTGGGTTACTTATGACAAAGGAGTAGATTTAGCCCAACGTTATAAAGTTAGAGAATTGTTACGACCACTAATAGATTTCAGTCCCTCGTCGGAAAGTCCACCGCTCGCACCAAAACATGTTACCGCTGCGTCTGCTAGACCCAAGAAAGCACGCGAACCTAAACAACCAAAAGCTAAATCCATTAAAACTCGTTCTTCAAAGAAAGGAAAGGGAAAGACAAACGAGCTTGTTGAAGAATTAATATTGTTTGATACAGACTTGCAAAGTAACAACAATGAAACTGTCAGCATTGCATCATCAAATAACATTACAGCATCACCCACCATATCACCAATCATGTATGACACAACAGATTTTGATGAACATTATAATAGTCCAACAAATCCGAGGAAAAGAACCAGCTCGCTTGATAACAACACTCGTCAAGCCAAAATGTCCAAGCTGTCAATGGCAGAATCTGTTTTAGCAACATCATCTTCACCCTCCTTTTCTACTCCAATGTCTGCTGCTAATCAATTTATTGAGGTGTTATTGGCATATTTCACTTCAAATTCAAATTTAATTCCAAGTTTTGTTATAAGTCCACCACCTGACTTTGATGCTAATTTAGTAATCGATGCGCAAGGCCACACTTCACTTCATTGGGCTGCTGCTATGGCTAATCTTGACATGGTAGCTTTGCTAATTAAAGCAGGTGCTGATACTGAATGTGTTAATATTATTGGTGAGACTGCACTCATGAGAAGTGTCATGTTTCCGTATAATTATCAAAACGGAAGCTTCAATGATATCACACAACTTTTGGCAAGTAGCATTGGTAATATTGATTCTTGCGATCAGACGGTATTTCATCATCTAGCACTTTTTGCAAATAATGATAATATGCAAGAAGGACCTGCAAAGTATTATTTAAAAACTTTAATTTCACACCTGAACCAAAGCCCTAATGAACGGTACCGAAAAAGTATTTTAAATAGACAGAATACCGATGGAGACACAGCTATCAACATTTTAGCAAAAGCAAAAAACAGAGAGCTTGTTAAATTACTTTTCTGTGCAGGCGGGGATCTTTATATTTGTAATAAAGAGAACAAAAATGCTGAACATTATTTCTGTGAAATTGATATTAATTACTCACCAACGATAACAAATCAACATAATTCCTATTCTCGTCAACAAACACCAATCAATCTACAAAGTTCATCGTCATCAAATATCTCCAATGGCACTTCTTTTGGACATGTAATCGAATCACCATTAATTACTGCAAACAATAAGGTTTATGCTGTTGCACCCACAATAGATTCTTTTGTTTCTATTGGTAAAAAAATTTTAGAAGATTATTGTTCTCCTTATATCAGTGAGCTTGAGAGTAAAGATAATGAGCTTTTTTTATGCAATAATAAATTAAAATCAATTGAAGACGAAATCAAGTCAGCCAATCTTAAAGTTAAAGAAATGAAAGAAATCAATAAAAAATTACCAGAAAAAAAAGAACGTGTGCAAGGATTGATTAAGCTTATAAAAGAAAAGATCGAAAAACGTAATCAACAAAGACTGGATAGCTTGTTAACCGAAGAATTAAACAAGACTTCATCGTCACCAAAAAATAATGTTGAAATAAATGAAAGGTATAGTTTATTTAACCATTAAAAAATATATATTTTTTATATGAATGGATTATTGATTTGGGAAAAATCTAGACAAAAGGAAGAAGTTAAGAAGCAATTAGATGTAGTAATTGAAGAAAGAAAGGAATTGACGGAAACATTAATAAGTATGAGATCAATTCCAGGAGAACCCACATTACCATATCGACACGCCTTCAATAAAATCTTGAAGGATCAAATTTTTGTAAGTTGTGTTATGATTTATATTTGTTTTTCTTTTTGAAAAAAAATTTAATGTCAAAATTCTAATAATTTTATTGTTACCATTACCGCCATTACCATTGTCATCATCATCATTATTATTAAAGACTGAGTAAACGTCTTTTGTTTACTCTTTTAAAATCTTATTATACAGCTAGCTGTTTTAAAAAAATTTAATAAAATCATTTAATATATCTATCTAACCATTCATTATAAATTATTGGATTTATTTATTTTTTCAATTGTTTTTTGTTCCTAATATTTTTTATAATATAATATTTTTTATTATATATTTATTTGTATAATAAATATTTGATAAATTATTAAATAAATATGATATAATGAATGTCTTTATATATAATTTGAATGAAATTAAATAAATAAAATATTACACTAAAATAGTGTATCTGTAGTAGTATCATGATTTTTTGATATAAACATACAAGCTGTTTATCTAGCTTTTTCTAGTAATAATAAAAAATTAACAGATATGAAAATTTTTAGAAATTTTTTAGTGGATGATTTTTTTAATTCTTACCTCATTCTAATTTAGTTTTCAATTTCTCTCTCCTCTTTTATCTTCTTCATCTTCTAGCACCACACCAAACACACATCCATCACAGCTAAAGGCTTTCTAAATGTAAAACAATATATATATGTGTGTGTATATATATGACGCCTACACCAAATCTTTTAAAACCAAAGTCAAAGATAAGGAGGGTTTTTCATTTCAACTTGGCAGCAATAAAGCCATTCTCGGGAATAAAGTCAACAACACCATTTAACAAATCATCACTTTTTTCTATAATTTTGATTCTTTTGGAGACTGCCTCAATAAGTGTTTTTGAATCAACTCGAGTTAATGTTTTTTGATAACTTTCTGTGGTAACAAAGGTTGGCCAGTCACTTTAAAAAACAGCAGCAACAAAAAAAAAAAAAAACAAATTAACAATTATAATATTACCTTTAATAATATTGAGTGATATTAATTATTATTATTTTTTTACCTTTTAATTGTCGATGATGTTTGACCATGACTTAATAATAAAAATAATAAAAATTAGAATAGTCAAAAAAAAAAAAAATTTTTTTTTAAGTCACATATATTTATTACCTTGAACGACGACCAATTACTCGTTGTTTTTTATTATTATTGTTATCATCATCATTATCATTGCTGCTACCGTTATTATTACTGCTACTTTAAACAAACGTATATATAATATATATACATATATATATATATAATTGTTAATTTAGACGTCAAGTTTGCATTTTAAAAAACCCTTTTTTTTATTGTTGCTGTTTGAGCTGGGCGATACCTTGATTTTGCCTTCATTTTTATTGCATTGGAATTATTGGTGTTAGTTTCGTCAGGTTTATGTTTATCTTTTTCAGTCATTTTATTTTTTATTTTTAAAAGAATAATGAATGAGTGACTGTCTGTGTTCAATGGGAGTGGGATTATTAAGAATTTGTCAATCATGGCAATATTAGCAAGTATTTTGCTTTAAAAAGGAAAAGAAAGAAAATACTGTGCTATTATTGTCCTTGATTCGCAACCGGTTGTTACAGACAGACACATCCTTCTCTAATGCTAATAACTCTTCTATCATCATTATTAATTATTTTAGCCAAAAAACTCTTAATAATGATGCACCTGATGTCGACAACGAAGGACAATTTATTATTATTTAAATTATACTTGTTGGAAAGCCTAACCTTGTCCAACTTGCCCAAAGAATAATCAACTAATGCTAATAATAAATTAACATGCTTACAATTGATTTGTTATTATCAATATTAATGGTAAATATATAAATAACCATCATAATCAATAAAAAAAAATGATTGGTACCATTATTAAAACCTTGTTGTTAAATGAATCAACAATTAATGGCGACGGTGCGGAAAGTGTTAACTTTAAAAATTACACACAAGTAGCATCCTCAATTACAACCATCAGAACAAGCGGTGTCGGCAACCTCAAAACTCACAGGTAAACTCCTTAGGGAAATTAATCAACACAATAGTCAAAGGAAACATAAATTTTTATACTAATGTTCAAGGCTCCAGCGAACGAACTAACTTCTAACTAATGGATGATGTGTATTTGATGCTTGGGTAGATGGGTTAATAGAACTATAGAGCTAATGATAACGACAGTTTAGCGTTTTACCAGAATGTATATTTCGACTATTTGTCACCAGATAATATTAGGTTTTATTTCCCAAGTTAGGAATGCAATCAATTTTTGGAACAGATGATTTTACATAAATTCTTTCCGTTGACCGAAAGAAAATTTAATTATAATATACACGGCTAGTAAAGTAAAGAACTACCTATGAAGTTTACCAAAAAGAAAGAAAAATATAAAAGGGTATTAACAACACAAAACCATAACGAACCTAGAAAAATAAAATAAAAAATTAGAAAAGAAATAAATCGTGACTGCAGTCGAGGCAATGTGATTCTAAAAGGAAAAACATAAAGCAAAACGTCATATAGAATTATTATTTGTTAAGTATCATAATGACAGCTACTGACTTTATTTATTAATATTAGAACCTGCTATTTATTTCACTATCAGTCGCAGGACATTGCAGATCAAGTGTCACCCATAAAAATCAAAATATATGGAAAACCCTTTATTTTGACATATTTTTGCCAGGGTAAACAAATAAGACTCGAAGAAAATCTTAATGTGACAACAGCACTTATTGTTGTGTAACAACAGTCAAAAAATAATCAAATAATAAAAAAATGTAAAAGATACATAACAGAAAAAATCAAATCATTGAAACAGTATAACAATAAAGATCATAATATAAATAATATACTGTCAGACATTTGCTGGGATCCATATTATGATGAACAAAAAATTACCTTCTTAGATTTAATTAATGGAATAATTCCAAAATCATTAACAAATAACATTTATAAAATTATACAGTGTAACAAATCCACAACCAACATCACTAATATAATAATTGAAACAATTATCACAAACATATATAAAGATATTTGGAAACCTAGGTGTGAGTTAGTGATTCAAGAAGAAATTAAGGAAAACATCACCAAAAAAATGAAAGTAAAGAAAGAGAATAATATAGTAAAGAGGAAAAAAAAAGAAAGAAAAAATTAAAAAGAGAAAAGATCTTGATCACAATAACTCCAACAATGAAACATCTCTCTCAACTTTGAGTTGGATAAGTTGGGTAGATTCTTGGATTAAAAAAGAAAGCCAATGAGAAATATATGTATCTTGACAGGATGTTTTACATAGTCAAAGAAATGGGGTGCAGTAGCTTAATTCTCTAAGTAAAAAAGGAGGCCTCATGAGACTTTGTATGATGTCAAGTTGCTCCAAATGAATACCATTCTATGGTAAAACGGGGGAGTTGTGCATTGTAAATAATTTAAATTTTTTTATATGTACAGTCAAACAGCATAGTGGAAATTTGAAATGCTATATACACTAATTTTTTATATTGTGCAATGTAGCTTTACAATACACAGCAAACATTCTGGCAATAAAAAGTAAGTGATAAACTGGATTTGAATTGGATCTGAACTTGATCTCCAATTTAGAGAGGTAACAACTTTATATACTGGTGAAGTTTCAGGAGCAATGAATTCTGTATAACATTTCGTGTAACAACAAACTTCCACTATGCTCTGTCAAACCTTGTCATAACGAATTTTGAACTAGTACAAATTTAGAAAGTATCTGCAGAAATATCCAATCAAATACAATATTTCTGCAGATACTTTCTAAATTTGTACTAGTTCAAAATTCGTTACGACAAGGTTTGGCTGTATTACATATTTCTAATCAATAAAAGATTACGTTGTTAAAAAAAAAAAAAATGCACAATTCAATCTTTGGACTTGATTTTTTTTTTTTACATAATAATAATTAATGCAATGGTAAGTTCTAGTTTCCAAGCTTTAAATATTTATTTTATAGAAAATATTAAATTTTTTTTTTATAATGCAACATTTTAGTTAAATTAACATAATAATAATATATATATCACTGGATGAATTAAAAAGTTGTATCAAACAAAATGAATTCGTGTAATGGACTTCTTTCAAGATGGCTATTAACAAAATGTCAGTTAACTTAAAGAAAAGAAAGATTTGTTGATTTTTGATTAAAGTTTCATTAATGATTATTAACGGTTTTAAATCTACATATATATGCTTCATAGATCTTGCTTTTAACACTTCAATCAACTGCTATATAACTATGAATAATTGATAAAGCATTCATCAAGTATAACAATTTATATTTACATTTTTAATTATGCATATTTTTTTCTTGATATTAATAAATTATTTACAAATTATTTAGCTAAAAAATGATGGCAAATATGAAATTTTAACATTGGTATATGAATATGCAAAAGAGATATATTATGGCAACAACCCTTTACTATCTGGTATATTAGATTAAAATATTTATCAATGTATTGTCCTGAACTAATGGATAAACTACAAGTGTCCAAAGAATGGAGTGATTTCAGTACATTCAAAGACACGAATTATTCAATGCCAATGCCTCTTGAGTTACAAAAATTTATTGATTCGAACCAGGGTTGGCAAATGTGCAGTCTATTGGTGGTCCATTGGGTCCATTAATGTAACACTTTAACCATATTTAGTATTTTATTAATGGCAATGGACTAGTCCAAAATCCATCTGTTCTTAATGGACCAGTCAATTTGCCAACCCTGATTCGAACTATGGGAATGAAAAATTCCACTATGCTAATGGAAAGTTAATTGAAAGCTTGTTGATAGTTTATCATTTACAGAATGTGCTATTAAAATTGTAATAAATAATTTTTATATTTATTTTACAGTTATATATATGTATACATATAAATTTATTATTGATTCTATTTTAGGAGATATATTTGGAAAGATAAATTGTATAAGTCTCAATCCCAAACTATTAATGAGCAATGTATATGCATGAATTTTTAAGCAAAATATATGGAATTCATTTGGCTAGATTTAGATACAAATGCCCATCCAAGATGGTATGGAATTTCTGCATGATTTATTTGTTCATTTGTCAATTCCATTTACTATTACTAAATGATTTATTAATTAGGGATAGAGTTATGAATGTGGCATCCTCTGAAAGAGGTGTACAAAAGATGGTTGACTTCATTTTAACATACAAGAAAAACACCAGACAAGAAATTATGTATGGCGAAGTCTCAAATGGTCCTTTTGCCTTAAGTCTCAAACTTGGGAAATTAGGAAAGGATTCTCTGAACAGAATCAATAGGATTTTTAAAACAAAAAGATTCCTGTATTGCTATTTCACTCAGAAGGTAGGTATTTTTGTATTACTATTATTATCATAATAATAAATTTGATATTGATGATCTGAACATATATTTTAGGTAGTGTTCCATGTTGCAATCCAAAAAAGGAAACCAAAGTGGTCACAAAGGTGGTTGCAACCAGATGTCACAAACCATTTTTATATGTTGCAAATATGGTTGCAACCATCATCAAGAATTGCGACCAGCATCTATAATTTTAAGTGAATATATACATTTTTTTGTCATTGATCAGAAATTTCCATCAGCATACCATAGAATCTTAATTGAGACTATCTGTATACCATTATTTGAAAATTCACCAAAAATACATTTAACAACTTCTTTGTTAAATCATATAAGGTTAGAAAGATCCTAACAAAAATAGTGGAATATTAAAAAGGACAATGACAATTATGAACTTGAGATGGAAACAGTAATAGCAGAAGAACCAACAGGTGGAGAAGAAGAGATTGATAAAGAGGAAATTGAAAGCATAATGCATAATGCGTTTACAACCAATATTTCACCTGAAAAAAAAGCAAGCACATTCACTTTAAAATATTAGAACATATAATAGAGAATTTTTGGCATTTTATTGGTGGTAAATGAAATAATAATAATAATAGTTACAATAATAATAGTTATAATAATAATAGTTATAACAATAACAATAGCAACAACAACAACAACAATAATAATAATATTCCATTATAGTTGTAGTAGTTGTTGTGTTGAACATGTTTAAAAAAATTTTTTTTTGTCATCATATTTATATATATAATCGATGGTTTCCCTCTTTATACCATGTTTTGTTTATATACTAACATTTCATTTGCAATTTTTATTGGACTTTGATTTGCTTTGTAATTTTACCAGTTAGTTCTGGTGGTAATTTAAACACTGGAGCATTAGAATCCACATACTCGATTTCTTCTCTAACCTCTACTAGATCTCCAGCCTTGAAGGGTCTTTGCTGTCATTTAGATTAGAAAGTGCTTTGACCATATAGTTAAAAGTTTGGATAATATAAGATAATGTTTTTGTTTTATTTTATATAGAATGCAGAAATGTTTAATTTGAAAATTTTATTAATTTATTATTATGTCTAGTTTCATTAACTGACATGCTATGCATGCCCAGCTCATTCCACTTGCTTGTCTGATAACTACTTTGATGGAAAAAAATTTTTTTTCTTGGATTACATAGTAAATTGATATGAAATCGAGACCTACATGTCCTTGTGGATATGCATGATATGAAAAAAATTAATGGTATCCAACCCTTTAAATACATTTTTGAGTGGTATGATTTAATTTATTAGACTATTTCAAATGGTTGCTTCCAACTTCTTAAATTTGAGCCATTTATTAATGAAACAATTGTTCATAAAGTGATTGTTGACAAAATGAATCAAACCCACATTAAATGTTTTATTTTTAAATTTACAATTTTAATTGGTGAATCAATCAATGGTCTCTCCTGTAATAACATTGTATATATAATAATAACAACAATTATTTTATGTGGTCAAATGTAGAAGGTTGAGTTCTGTGCACTGAAATGGCCTGAGAGTAAATTTCTCTATGAAAAAATAACAAAAAAATAAGTTTAGATGGTTGTCCTATTCATATGTTTTGAATTTAATAAAATAGACTATTGTCTTGGCCTGAGTGATGTCATTTTTTTGCTCTTTGTGATGAAGAAGACGCACAAGCAATGTTTTTTCTTCTTGCTCTTACTCATATCTTGCTATTTTATTATTTAGTTCTTTTGAGTGATAATTAATTAACATAGAAGATATCCATCATCACTCACTCCATGTGCTGGCTTGTGAGCAGTTTTAGTTATATTTATGATATTTGTAAAAAAACACAATACACAAAAATTATTTTTAAAAAATTATCTCCATAAGATTCTTTGT